GGAAGGGCTGGTTTGTGTGTTTCTGTCAGGTTGTGATGGAGCCACATTGCTGTGAACACTACATTCCATTGAGCTCTGCCGCTGCAGGAGCGGAGTGACTAGTCCTGTTGGGCGAGGTGCCAGCCTGTAGAGATGGGCAGTATGACCATGTATCATCATTATTAGGATATATTGTCATGCTTTTCTGAGTTATGGTGGGTTCTTAGGGCAGATAGGGCTGAACAGTTTGGGGAAAATAATCACTTTAGATCAATTTAGAGCAGCGCTAGTAAACATTTGTTTGTTAAAACTGAAAAAAGGGTCATTACTGAGTGGGGAAATAAAAACCAGCTTAAAATCTGGTGAGCTGCTGCTGAGAGTCGCCCTGTAAAACCTGAAACAATCATTTAAAAGTCAGAGGCGTTGAGTTTTTCACAGCACGTCGTACATCTTTACGTATTAACATCACTCACAGACCCAAAAGAAGGTCCGGCTCGATGTTTCAGCCTCAAATGATCTCAAAATCAACATCATACTGATGAAGATATGATGACAACAGGACATCATTGACTCACATTCTCAGAAGACACGTCCTTCACCAAGTTTTGACCAAGTTCTCTTTGAATTCTCTATCAGTCATTAGATTCATCTGCTCGAGGAAAGAGTCTAAAGCTTAACCCATGTTATAGAATGTGCATGCAGTTACATATTTCCACCAGAGAGGTCTCCAAATCCCCACATCTTTCACAGTGCAGCTTTAAGTTATGATTATTTTCTATAAATTAAGGTCTTGGGATTGTATAACAGAAACGTTCTAACTCTCAAAAAATCTTACCTCTTTAGTCACGGTGATAACTTCAGATCAATAGTTACACTGCCAAAATTATATCTTAGCAAGTAAAATTATCTGTATTCTTGTCGATACATCTAAACAAATATTTTTGTTGTAAGCTTATTTAACTTACCTCTATACATTTTTACTTGTTTTACATCTTAATATTGGCAGATAATTTTGCTCATTTTAACAAATATGCTTGAAACAAACAAAATTATCCATCAGTATAGTGAAATAATAAAACCCCTGGCTTGTTTTGGTCCAGAAACACCAACATATCCACTTTTTCTCTGACTTGGGGCTTGAATGTTGAACATGGCACGCTGAACTGCTAGTTAGTTGTGGTTGTGATTTCACAGCACAAGGGTGTTTGGTTGCTGCTGTTTGGTCCAGCTCTTCTACAGATGGATTAAGACAATGTTGAATGATGTAGGATATAATAATATATGCAGCTCTTCTGATTTGAATATAAAATCGATTCATCTTTCAGCTCAACTTCTAGAACACTCAGCAACTGTGTGGATCACAAAAAAAGCCTGTAAAGAACAACAGAAACATTAGTTTCTTCAGTGTTTGATGCCAGAGAGAACTCTGCTGTCTCCACAGCCAGTGGAAGTTGGTTCCACCACCTGGGCTCCAGGACAGAGAAGAGTCTTTATCTTTGTCTTCTGTGCGTCTTAAAGTTTGGTGGGTCAAACTGAACTGTATATGAAGCCCCCTGAGGTACAGATCGAGTTTTGACAATTACCATCAGATAGAAAGGCACTGGTTCGTTCCTCTCTGAGCTTATTGGCTCATCTGAAGAGGCAGCCTCAGTTACTCATCCAACGCAAAAACCTACAGTGTTAGAAATAAAGGTTCTGTTCAGGTACACTTTTTGTTCTTCAAGGTACAAACAGTGTAAATGCTCCCTCAAAGCTCCAACAGTGGTTTTAAGGTCTGATTGTGAACCTTAAATAAGTTTTTCCAGGTGAAAAGTTCGTATTTGTACCTTTTCATAACCGAATGTTTTAAACAGAACAGTAAAATAAAAGCCTGGAGACGAGACGGGGTGTGTGGAGTCAGTACAGCTTAGAACATATCATTTCAGTGGATTATGGTTCAGTTATGTTCCCTGACTAAAACTGCTGAGATGGACCCTTGAGGATCCTGACAGTTTAGTACCTTTATTAGTGAGAGTGTACTGATGCAGAATCTTTGCGCTACTGATTTTTGGCCTCTTAAAAGCAGTATATTAATTATCACACTTCACAAATATCACACTTTTAAGAAACACTTAAAAATGTATCTGTTTAACTTTAAACACTAATTAAATTAATTTAATTAAGACTCTACGTCTCGTGGTTTTCATCTTCCAATTTGATCTGTGTCATTTTCTTATGATTCTAAATTAATACTTATAATTTCTTGTATAACTGTTTATTATCACCTGTCCGTAAAGCACTTTGAGCTGCCGCCGGCATGAAAAGTGCTATATATAAATAAAATTATTATTATTATTATTATTATTATTATTATTATTATTATTTCAGTTTAAGTTGTTTTTGGTTTTGTTTTTTTTCTTTTTTTGGTTAAAGAAATATCCAATGATTAACTCTTAAAGATAATCAAAAATCAAAATTAGCCCGAATTCACATGCCTGAAAAGTACTCATTGCTTAAAACATTACTAATTATTATCATTACAAATTTTTACCTCGTCTACTCTTATCTATAAATCCAAAATCTGCCTGCACTCAACGCTCAATCCAGTACCTGTAGCCTTTCAGCAACCCTGATCTTGGTATTCTTTTCCTCCTCAGCCCATTTTTCTACATCATTTATTGTAAAATTGGACCACAGTTCTAGATCAGTAGTCCAGCGAGTCATCTTTCATAGCTGCTTCTGAAAGTTCTTTGAATTTCACGATGGTGGTCACGATGGTGAGGTATAAAGATTTTAAAATGAAGAAAATATATCTCTGGTACCGTATCGGTGCTCAGTATCGGCCGATACCCTGAGTTCAGGTATCCGTAGTTACTCAGCTCTGCTTTGAGATGACCACGAAAGGAGAACATTGATCAGGAGTATGAAGTCCAGCTTGTGAGCAGCCATTAATTTCTGAGTTAACTGAAAAGTTCATCTCTGTTCCTCGATCTCCTGCTGATGGTGAGCTCCAGACACAGAGTCATTTTCAGCCTTTCGCATCTCAGTTTTACTGCATTCTTTTTAGCAATCGTTCATATTTTAACTGCTCTTGTGGGAGCCTGTTGGCTTGTTTCTGGATGCCTAATAAGTGTTTGAGTTTGGCACACGATAGAGAAATGAGGCCTTGCGAGCTGAATGACAGCCAAAGTCTTCTTTCAGTAGTGGGGGGATCAGGGCAGGATGCTTTTTGTGGGGGTTTTACCCTAAGCCACTGATTCACAGTTATGCTTCTATGTTTGTAATAGTTAAAATGATGCAGTGTTCTGCTGAGCTTATCCTGACTCAGTGTTTTCGAGATGAAAGAGCTGTGGATCAGCATATGCAAGCGTTTCCAAGGTTTCTTTTGGACGCCCCACTGAGGCTAAACTCTCATTTTCAAACCTTAGTTCACGATTTCAAAGGACTTCAGAAAAAATACAATGACCACAGTTTTCTACAGGTTTATAACAGGAGCCAGCTTGCTATGTTGGCGGTAAATGGACTGGCCACCTCCAGAACGTCATCCAGAAGATGGGACAGTCACAGCAACGCTTCACATCTATTAGTGCTGTCAAGGTCATCTATGTCTGTGTTTACATGCTAAGATTTTTGCCAATCTGATTGAATACATTCTGATTACAGATCAAGACTGAGGTGTTTATGCTCACTCTACTCAACAATCTCATGAAGAATCTCTGTTCACATGCTCACTACAAGGAATCAGATCCAAAATTACACACATGTGTAGAGAACCACTTAGTGTAGATGTTACCATGACAACGAGCATCACGAGTCCAGTCAGAGTGAGATGAGCAGCAGTGAGCAGTGCTTGTGTTTTAAACTACTTTAAAATGATGTCAGACTCAGGAAAACGTCCTTCACATGTCCTTATTAAAGAAGGCCGAGAGGAAGACGTCGTGTTCTGAGACACATAAGCTGGACGTCCGTCCCACCGCCGTCTTTTAAAGATCAGAGCATAAACTTCGTCTCCTCTGCAGACCAGTTTCTGCTCCGCCATGTTGAACGGTATAAACTTTCACTATGACGCGACGAACATGATCAGAACGGACTTAAACTTTCCGATAGGGAATGTAATCAGATACAGGCGTTTACACGGATATTATTCTTCTATTTAACGGATTATTTACAGGATTACCCACCTCGATCAACCGGATAGAAACTGTATTCCGAATGCACTCGTGCATTTAAAAGAATCAAGCATCTGGGCTTCCGAGTGGTGCAACCGTCTAAGCGTTGTACCTGATCGTAAATTCAATCCCTGGTGATGCTACAGCCATCCGTGGCCGGGAGTCCAAGTCAGCACATTTGTCTTCGCTCTCTCTGGGTGGGCAGGATGGCCTCCATCTCCCCCATCACTCAGGCGCCCATGCTAGCCAGGGCAGGCGTCTGTTAGCTGAGGTATCAGAACTGGCAGTTATTGTTCTCTGCCGAGTGCGTTCAGCTGTCCAAAGACATTGCATTAGCAGCAGTTTGAAAAGATCTGGTGGCTTCACACGTCTCTGAGGAAGCCTAATGCTTGGAATTGGATACGACTAGATTGGGGGGAAAATTGAAAAAAATATAAAATTAAGTAAATTAAAAAATTAAGAATCAAGTATCTAGCAGCCAGGGTCACAAAGGCTACAAAATCTGTGGTCAGGCAGTTGAGCAAACTCAGGTAGTAGCCTCGTGCATTTTTCTTGTATGTTTTATACAGTGATAGGAAACACAGTACAACACTGAAAGCTCTTATTCTACCCGCTGTTACATTTTATTCTGGTCCACATGATCATGTAGGTGCCATAACTCCTCCGGAGGCAGATTTAAACGAGTGTAAAGGGCGTCACCAAATTCTCAGTATGGATTGCTGGCAAGACCCTCAGTTCCATAGAGTTAATTGACTAATCCTGACAGTCCTAATGTCTGTGTACATATATAGATTCAGTAAACAGCCCTAACATCTCTCTTTTTCTGTCTGTCTGTTTATCTCTGTATACCTCCCTCCCTGTCTGTCTGTCCAGGTGATGCCCGTGCCCTTAAAGACTTGGGCAGGACTCTGGTGCTGCACAGGAGGACGGTCATGCCCTATGCTGCCTACGCCCGGAAACGCAAAGGCCCCAGCGATGAGAGGGAGGTGGAGCAATACGCCAGCCTGGTGGGCCAGACATGTGCGGAGAGGATCCTGCTCTACCGGGCCTGAAGCACTGCATCGTCCAGCTCCGCACCTTCCTGCACTCTGTCCTCCAGGAATAATCATCACTCTGCCTGCTTTTCTGCCTTTTTCTTCCACACAATGCCGTTTGTCTTCCTCCGTCTCTGCGTCCGTCCCTTCAGGTTTCCCCTCAGCGTGTTGTGTTTTCTCTCTGCATGTCTGTTAGAGCTTCATTTCTTGTTCAGTATGTAGCCACTTTGAGTATATACGCAATAGGCTTCTTACAGAACTGTGCAAGAGTCCTAGGCCAGCTGAGAAGATGATGTGTAAAGCTGTTTATCTGAGCAGTAATTATTTGGTGAGGAATAAATTCAAGTGAACAAGCAATACGTTTGTATAGCTTAACCATTGCCAAAGCTCTTCTTAAGGAAGTCCAGTATTTACAGTTACCACCCAGTAATCGGTCCTTCACCAGACGTGATTTATTTGGACAACAAAAATGAAATAGAGGTGTGTATAAGATAAAGTATCTTGCACACTGAACGTGATTTTTCAGACGGCGACAATGCGATATTATTTTATTTGCTCGCTTTCTGCGAACTTTCCCAGGCGACGTGATCTCTCTGACCATCTCTGTAGTTGGCATGGCAACAACGAAGCTGACGGATCGGATGAGTCCCAGCATTAACAACTTTTCGATAGATACTGCTTTGTTACTGACAGTGTTAGCATCTCCAAAAGCAGCTCACACTGCGCTACACACATCCCAGTTATATGTGGAAGAGCTCAAAGATTCAGCTGCTGAATAAAACGATGAAACTCTCCACACTGCTCACTCCTCCCAAATGGAAGGTGGCCCATTCAGTGTTTGCCTGTTTTGTGAGGAACAATGGATTTATTTTTGCCTGTTTGTTCCTTTTTCTCAGGGCAAACAACACAGTTAATTTAAAAAACGTGTCGCATCTGAATTTTTCACTTAGGTCGTTTATGTGCGGCGCCTGTACTCACATATTTGTGATGCGGCGGTTAAAATGAAATTTCCTGGACGAAGCCAACATTTAAGACAAAGTCCTGATCAACATCTAAGACTTCACAGCTCATTTTAACAGTAATAAAAAGGAGAAATAGTGATTAAAAATGCTGTTTGTCCCCAAAGCATTCCAGAAAGCTTCTTACTCTGAGAATACTGCAGCAACATTCTGGCGCCTCTGAGTCAAAAACACACACAAAAATGATAAATAAAAACAGTTTATAAAAAGTAAGCTAATCACAATGATTACAGTATGTAGGCTACTGAATGAGCCATGAAATGAATCCAGTATCCTTGACACTGTTTGGTAGTACAACGCAATGACCTTCATAAACTCTTTGTGAACTCTCTGTGAATCTTTTCATCATTTCATAAACAGCGTACAGACGGCGAGGCGTGGCACGCAGGGGCTTTACTTTCTGTTTCTGTTGTTTTGCTATGTTCTGCATGTTCTGCTGAGGTCATTTGTTTGGGTGCCTAAGACTTTTGCACTGCTCTGTATATACAGTTGTATTCAGTTGGATTTTCCAAAGTGTAAATAAGTTAAAACATCCACTACAGAGACACACTTCTGCACATTTAAATGCACGGTTACTGAATTTAACACAGTGGGGGAAAATAAAACATGCACTGCCAAAAAACGATATTTTAGCAAGTAAAAACATCTTAAAAGTAGTTAATATACCTAATATTTCTCATTACAGGATCAGTGTGGAAAGATTGTGATTGTTTAACCCGTTCCTGTATATTTTTACTTGTTTTAAATAATTACATCTAGTGAAAGTGTCTTATTCCATTAGCTGATCATTTTACTTGTTTTGAGAATTAATGAAAATAATTTAGCTGATTTTAAAAGTAGTGCTTAAAATGAGTCAAATGATCTGCGAAAGAAATTTAAAACAAGTTGAAAATATCTAGAAATAAGTTAAATAATCCTATAATGCACATAAAGCAATCTCTTAATGAGATATATTAGACATATTTACTAGATTTAAGATGTTTTCACTCACTAAGATCATTTTTTTGCAGTGTAAAATGTGAACTGTGCAAAATTTCATGTTACGCTTTTTTCCCAATATGTTAAACTCAGCAAATAAATAGAAACTGTGCAATAGTTTGAGGATGTCTTAACTCACTTCGAAAATCAGCAACACTTGTGCATACGGCTGTGCATACAAAGCTTATATCCCACCTGCTCATGAGATGCGGCTGCTCTGTCTAATGTCCCTCACCGTCCGTGCTCACAATATTGCTGCCCACACTGACACAGTTTACAGCCATGTAATCGCACTGATGCTAATACAGACTGAAAAGTCTCTCTATGTAGTAAAAGTGATGTGTCGTAGAGCAGCGGAACCGTTTTTGTTGCACACTTCTGACACCAGTTTCACACGTACCTTGCTGGATATATGAGGCCTCAGAGATGGTTTTTAAGCTAATTTCTCTCTGACGCATCAGTAAAGACAGTGGTTCTATATACAACCCTGAACACTCAAAGAACGTTTTACATGCTTAAATGTTTTTTTGCATGGTGAAATGGTTCTTTAGGTTGATGGAGAATGTGTTATATGGTTCTGTATAAAACCTTTTTGAAAATGGTTCTACATAGCAGCAAAATGGGTTCTGCTATTGTATACAAGCTTGAGATTGTAACAACAGCAGAACCCTTTTTGGTGCTATATGGAACCATATACAAGACATACTCCAACAATCAGAAGCACGATTTCACCATGCAAAAGAACGCTTTGCACGCTTAAATGGTTCTTTGCATGGTGAAATTGTTCTTGAGGTTGATGGAGAATGTGTTGTACATGGTTTTATCTATAGAACCTTTTTGGAAATGGTTCTATATAGCAACAAAATAGGTTCTTCTATTGTATACAAGCTTGACATCGTAACAACAGCAGAACCCTATTTGGTGCTATATGGAACCATGTACAAGACATTCTCCATCAATTGGAAGAACAATTTCACCATCCAAAAGAACCCTTTGCACGCTTAAACGGTTCTTTGCATGGTGAAATGGCTCTTCAGGTTGATGGAGAATGTGTTGTTTATGGTTATATATAGAACCTTTTTGGAAATGGTTCTTTATAGCAACAAAAAGGGTTCTTCTGTTGTGTACACGCTAGAGCAACAACAGCAGAACCCATTTTGGTACTATACAGAACCATATACAACACACTCTGTCAATCTGAAGAACGATTTCACCATGCCAAGCACCATTTGAGCATGCAAATGGTTCCTTGAGTGTTCATGGTTCGCTGTAGAACCATTGTCTTTACTGAAGAACCCTTGAAGAACCGTCTTTTTTAAGAGTGTAGCTTATGATCAGTAATGTTAATGCATTTCCTTGCACTTGTAACATCAGAGAATCGCTTAATCTGCTCTGGATGGCTAGACTTGAATCTGCATTCATCGAAATCATAGCATTGTACCACTGCAGAGTCTGTACTGGGCTGAAGATGAAGAAAACAGTGGAGGACTGAAGAACTGTGAATAACTGAGTGTTGATGTTGGGTTCAGCAGCTGTGTTCTTGCTCCAAGCCATTGATCAGCCCAGTGCTACAGATGGCTGCACGACATAATACCACTAATCATGACGTGATGCTTGACATATCGCTGGTTAGTCCTGTGCTGTGAGGGCCTTGTGTCATTGTGAAAGTGGGCCAGGACTGATGTCAGAGAGGAGCACCCATGCGAGTACTGCTTCTCACCGAAGACTGACCTTTCAGTGAACCCGAGACTCGTCCATGAAGTAAAGTTTGCAGTGAAATCCAGTAGAACAGCACCGTTTTCATGTTCTGTAGCTCATTTGTTTGCCATTATAGCTTCAGTGTATTTTTTTTTGATATTTTTCTTTCTTAAAAATAAAAAAAATGAACAGATGAAACTTGTTAGTGTGTTTCTTTTTCTGTGAAATGTGCAAGAAAACAACAGCAAAAAATGTAAAATTCTCAAAGCATGTTGTTTTTTAAGCTGAAAGAGTTGGCATAAAATATGGTGAGCGTGCGATGCTACAAGTCGACCTGTAAAGCCCAAAATAATTTAAGTCAGAGGCGTCAAGTTTTTCACACCACGTCTTTACCTATTAACGACACGCACAACCTCGAAAAGAAGGTGCGGCTCAATGTTTGAGTCTCAAATGATCGCAAAATCAACATTATAGAACGGACAGATCCGGTCCTAAAATCTGATTGGCTGAGCTGTGTTCGAAGCCGTTGTAAAATCCTTGATATACGCTTAACTATGACCACCTCACAACAACTGAACTGTGTATCACTGCGCCACAGCATGAAAAACCCTTGTGCTGTTAATGAACAATCTTTGACTCTAATGCTGCTCACATGGAGCACCGAGTGTACTGATGAAGTAAGAACCTGTTTTTTGTTTAAACTGAGGGGCTGACGACTTATGTTCTTAACTAGAACCAGGCTGGTCAGCTGGCTAACAGGCTAAAAGAGCCAACAGCCTAAACAGCTCCATCATTAATATCACAGGCTTGAATTAAAGCACTTACGGTGTGATTCACTGTAAAACGGCAGTATAAAAGTCTAAAAATGTCACTTTAATGTCTTACAGCCTCACTAAAATAAGGCTCCGCCCACAGACTAAAACTGTGTTTCAATACAGACATGAAAACACGAGACGGCATTTTCTGAATTAGTTTATTAAACTTAAATTTTAATTTAACTTAAATTTTAATTTAACTTAAATTTTATTGAACTTAAAAACTAAACTCACAATAAATCTAAATCTTTGAACTTGACTCTAAAAGAAATTTTACAATATATGTAAGTATGGTAACACTTTCTATGAATGTCACCTTTGTAAGCATCTATAAACACATTCATAACATGTAATGCATTCATAAGGCATTATAAACATGGCTATAAATATTTATAAAAATGCATTACACGCTATAGCCATGCTTATTATGCATTATGAATTGTTAACATAATACATTATAAGTACTGTTCATAACAAATTATAAGAGCTCATAAGTGGTATTTGTCCGCTCGGTAAAACCTTATATGAATGTCTCCTTTGTAAGCATCTATGAAACACATTCATAACATGTTATAATGGATTCATAAGGCATTATAAACATGGCTATAAATATTTATAAAAATGCATTATACATTATAGCTATGTTTATTGTGCATTATGAATTGTTAACATAATACATTATAAGTACTGATCATAACAAATTATAAGAGCTCATAAGTGGTATTTGTCTGCTCTAAGTAAAGTGAAGCGTACTGTACTAAAGCCTCCTCCAGTGTTCAGAGTGAGGCTTCAAGTTGAAGTATTTACTGAAGGATTTACTGAAACACTAAAACATTCACAGTAAAGCACATTACAGGCTTCAAATGTCAGAGTTTAAACTAGAGCTGCCATCAGTGTTTTACCCAATGTGGGAAAGGTAATGTTCACCACCGTTAGCTTGGTATTTGTCTTTACGCTCTCCAAGCTGGGACTGACTTCTTTGGCACTGACATTATAACATGTTATCAACACTATTTATAATGCATCATATTAACAATTCATAATGTATAATAAACATGGCTATAAAGTGTAATTCATTTTTATAAAAGTTCATAATCATGTTTATAATGCCGTATGAAGGCATTCTAACGTTATAAATGTGTTTATAGATGCTTTCAAACGTGACATTCATAGAAAGTGTTACCGTAAGTATTATGTTGAGAAGTGTAATTTTAGGGGTTAGGGTTTGGGACAGACTCCTCCCAAAAGAAAGCACCCTATAAATTATGAATTTGTATATATTTTGTTTATTACTGTCTCTATTAATGTCTTGGGTTTAAATAGAACAGAATATCTAAGATCTGAACACTTCATTGTTTTCTAGATAGTGTTTACTGTGGGAGCGCAGTTTGAACGTTCGGTAGAACGGTCCACATACACACAGGAGAACATCACTGCCAGTTCCTTTATTTTTTCCTTCGCCACCCCAATGAAAATCTAACCTGGCCACCTCACTGTGAAGTTCTGGCGATGCCTCTCAGTTATGCTTCACTAGAACCTCAGGCTCGTGTGCTGCTGCTCTAGACTGTTCTGCTCTGTTGGTCATTGCTTTTCTGTGGAGATACAACTTAAACACCAGCAGTGGGTGCACTTTAAAGTACACTCTTAAAAATTATGGTTCTTCAAGGGTTCTTTAGGAAAGGGAATGGTTCTATATAGAACCATGAACACTCAAAGAACCATTTGCATGCTTAAATGTTTCTTTGCATGGTGAAATCGTTCTTCAGATGGATGAAGAATGTGTTATATGTGGTTCTATTTTTATTACCAAATAGTTCTATATAGCACCAAAAAGGGCAACGTATCAATAGAAGAATCCTTTTTGGTGCTATCCAGAACCATATACAACACATTCTGCATCAGTCTGAAGAATCATTTCACCATACAAAGAACCCATTTATGCATGCAAAGGGTTCCATATAACACCATTGTCTTTACCAAAAACTCTTGAAGAACCATCTTTTTTAAGAGTGTATGTTAAGTTCTATATAGAACCTATGTAGCACAAAAAGTGTTCTTACATTGTTATGATGTTAAATTTATATACAGTAGAAAAACTCTTTTTGGTGCTATATAGAACCCTTTTCAAAAAGTTGCTATATGGAACCATATACAACACATTCTCCATCAGTCTGAAGAACCATTTCACCATTCAAAAAAACATTTAAGCATGGTAATGGTTCTTGAAGTGTTCATGGTTCTATATAGAACCATTGTCTTTAATAAAAAACCCTTTTAATAGTGTGTGATTCTAGAAAACAGTTCTATTCAGCACCGAAAGGGTTCTGCTGTTGTTATGATGCCGAGCTTGTATACAGTGGGAGAACCCTTTTTGATGCTATATATGCGTAGTGCTGTGGTGCCTAGTCAATCTGAAGAACTGTCATGCAAAGAACCACTTAAGCATGAAGCCCTTCTATGCAGAACTCATGGTTCTAGGACCATTGCTTTCACTAAAGAACCCTTGAAGAACCATCTTTTTTAAGAGTGTAGCTGATTAAAACTTCTGTCTGGATACTTTTGGTGTAAATACCAAACCACACACACACCGAAGTAGCCTTGTCTGTGTTCGGGTCAGCTCAGAGAGAGCTGGTCATGCAGAGCGGCAGTGGCTGGGTTCTGGGCCGAGCTCCAGTAATAGCCGGTGCTAGCCTGCCAATGCTAACTCTGCCTACGCGAGAGCAGCCTGGGCCAGCAGTCGCGTCAAACTGAGCTAATGGAGGGTGAACACTCGCTAAGGTGGCTGATTCCCCAGCCAAGCATGAAGCAGTGCGCTCGCTCGGCCTGGGGCCGGCCGCCCAGCCCAGAGAGTGGGTGGCCTTGGTGGAAACCCAAACGTCCGACCCAGCTGTAGCTCAGGGCAGCATGCTAACGCGCTCTGCCCTGCGGCTCGGGCAGCGGCCGGTCTTTCTGACCTCGGCCAGTCTGGGCCCTGCGCGCTTTACATCGTTGTACGACTAGCCATCAACAGCAAAATACATAAATACTAATATTATATACTATAATATTAGAGTGTGTGTGTGTGTATATATATTTATACATATATATAGTTAATATAATATGTATACTTTTTTATCCTCTCTCTTCCTTTCTTTTTTTATTCTTTTTCTTTTTTCTTTTCTAACATTCTTTTTATCTTTCTCTCTTCTTTTTTTTCCTCTCCTCCTCCTTCTCGCTTTTCCTTTCTTTCTATTTCCTCTGTTTTTTCTGTCCTCTCTCTCTTCCTTTTTCTTTTTTCTTTCT